TACAGCAATGATATCGGACGAAACTTACCACAAAGAGATGGAGAAAGAGATTTGATCATTATTAAAAAAAATGATTTCCCGGATAATATCGTAAGCACATTATTAAAAGGATCTAAATCGCAATTCAGTAAAAAAAGATCAGAAAATCCTACAATATTTAAATCAGTAACTTATGTCCCTCATCTGTCAGAAGGTCTGGCTAAATCGGATTGCTACAACAAAGATAAAGTAAAAATAGCACACAAACCTACAAATACATTGAAAATATATTTAATAAAACAAAGTCAAAAACACCCAAATTGGAAAACAGTAATGTTATTTATAAAATCCCTTGTAATGGTAAAAACAACGAGTCATGTAACAGCCTATATGTAGGAACCACAAAATCAAAATTAAAAACTAGAATAGCACAATACAAATCGGACTTAAAACAATGTCAACTTACAAATATCAAAAAAAAAAAACAGCACTCATGGCCCACTGTGCAGCTAGCGGCCACTTACCGAATTTCAACGACGCTGCGATTCTACAACAAGAACAACACTACAATAAGCGCTTTACTTTAGAAATGTTACATATAATAAACACACCGGCAAACATAAGACTGAAGTACAAAACGGACACTGAAAACTGCGCTCACTTGTACAGACACTTGCTTACAAACAAATCGACAGTACCAAACTCCACGTCAAACAGTGCGGACGTGTAAATTAATGTATGTCGGGGCATGGGCGCAGATGAGCGAGATGTTGAAAAATCTAGCTTTGATGCGGATTCTGGCTAGACGTTCGTCCACCGGGGTGAACGCCAGTACTCGGCGACGGAGTCTCTCTCCTACCACGAATCCAACACCGAATCTGCGCTCCTTTACGTGGCAACTGTAGTAGACGTCGCAAGGCTTCACGCTTACTTTACCTTGCCCCGTCCATCGCATTTCTTGGATGGCGGTGATGTCAGCCTTTATCTTCCCGTGGACATCAACCAGCCGGGCCGAGGCACCTTCCCCATTAAGGGTCCGGATATTCCAGGTGCATACCCTTAAATCATAGTCCTTTATACGTTTGCCGTGGTCGTCATCAGAAAAAGGGGGTCTCATCCGAGGCTGTTTGCTTCTTTTCATTGGGCGGGGTTTTAACGTGGCGGGACCCAAACCCAGCGCACGCGAAGTTTTACGCCTTCTCACTTTAGCTCGCTCCCAAACGGGTGTTTGGTTGCTACCCAGAGGATACGTGGATATAAATATCCGGACGTTGTGAGCTGCGATTTGAACCGTACGCACAAGAATCGCTTCTGGCCACTCCCAGGTGAATGGCAGTCAAAAGTTTTCCACTTCTGCGCACGGAACCATCCTCCGACCATCATCTTTATGAAATAAAGAAAAGCTGAAAATCAATAGTTGCGTTCCAGATGCTTCACGATATTCACGAAATTCACGATTTGCAGGAACAGCTGTTTTCTCCATTAATAAATCTTATGGGAGGTGGTCACCTGGAACGACTTCCTGTAAAAACCTGCAAATCGTGAAGCATCTGGAACGCAACTAATGTGTGTATGCCACACCAAGAAGCTTACAGTGAGCATGTGCCGTTATCGTAGCAAGCAGCATTTTGAAGTAAAAAAAAACACAGTTGTTAAACGAAATACACGATGTACAGTGTTTGTTTGTTTTGAATGCAGCGCTGCTTGTACATAAATTTCGCTTTGCGCATGCCTGAAGCTGGCAAAGATTCTTTTTTTTTCTATGTTTGCGCTGTGCTAGCTGGATATAAAAAGAGGACAGAATAGAGGGCAATATGTGGTTTGTTGATGCTCTCTAAACACAAACGCGTGAAAAGCAAACGATCTAGCAATGCGTGGTATTGTTGATCAACTTAATACTTTAATTAAACTTAAGGCATATTCTCGGTTTGCAAAGCTGTCCCATACGAAAACCGGTTTTTACTGTGCCATCTGTGCACTGTGCAAGGGCTTTGCAAGACTCAGAGAATACCCCTATACTTATTAGGTGCATTCTTTTGCAACCGAGCTAAAAAAGAACACTCGCTTAAATGACGAAATACACGCAAAGCAACAGCACAAACTCGGCTATTTATCCGAGTTCAGCCAGGTGGGTTAAAAAATACGCGACCTGAAGGGTAGTGTTGTTAAGTGAAAAAACTGCTCTATTGTGAATTGTTAATGGGAAAGTGGAGAGGGAAATAATTGTTTCCTTATATAAGCGACTTATATTTAAATTAGTATATATATTACGCAAACACCTAGCATAGTTACTCATTTAAATTGGTTTTTGCATATATATCTCGTTAAACTAATCAATTGTTTCTTGCCAGCCACCAACAGGGTTGCTTTAGTAGCTAAAAGGAAATGTTACCCGAGTTGAGCGTTATTTTGTCGCTCGCTTAAAAAAATGCAGCCATTATTAAAATTTCATTTTAAAAATACCACTCTGTCCTGTTGCGGTAAAAATATGTCATTTTAAAACTTGCGCTTTGCGCTTACAAAAAATGTAGGCTTTAATTTTATATATAGTATAGATAGATATATATGCAGTTCAGAAATGACCACAGTTTCTGAAGTTCATGAGTTCCATAGTTGGACTTTTTTCCCAAAGGTTTTCTTCTGCTTTTTTGCTTTCAGAGTTTCCAGTGAAGGCACTTATTTTAGATCTTAATGATGAGTAAAAGTAAAATGCTTTCAAGCACACCTTTTCTGCTCTCATCGTTTCTATTGGTATCGGCAATTTCGAAAACAACATCACAATGTCCCTGGCAAAGGGACGTACTTGAACTGCAGACGTCTTGCATTTGTGCCTATAATTTGGGTCAAGAACTCTCCGTCCAATGCGATCAGGTACGTATTACTTACAAGCATACTTCATGTAAAAAACTGATCTTAAACTTCGTAAGCAGGTGAAATTCTCTACACTCATAGACGCCTTAAACGCATTTACCAAAGAAAAACCGATAGATCTACTTTACGTTAATAATTCAACAATTAGTGAAATACCGAATGGCATCTTTGCAAATTTTACTGTACGTAATGTACAATTATCAAATTGCCAAATAAGCAAAATTGGAGACAACGCTTTTAGCGAACAAGAAACGTCCCTCAAAAATCTAAATTTGCAGGACAACTTGTTGACAGAAGTCCCAGTTAAAGCAGTCCGAAGCCTAAGTAAACTCAATCTATTAGATTTGTCAAAAAATCTTATTACCTTTATACCAAATGGAGCTTTCTCAAGTCTATCAAAATTATCTACCCTGAAGTTAAATGAAAACAATGTTACAATGGAAGATGCAGCTTTCAGTGGTCTCGAAGATTGTCTTAAAAATCTAAACCTAAAAGGCACCCACCAACATATCATTCCCGAAAGTATACGCGGGCTAAAAAGCCTAGCATTTCTGGATCTTTCTTTAAATGTGATTAAAGAATTACCTGGGCCTGGAGGAATTCATACATTCGACGGGCTGGATTCTTTAACTGCTTTAAATTTGGAACGTAATTTTATACAAAGCCTAGGGGAAACGTCTTTTGCTGGTATCCGCAAAACTCTAACCTCTTTAAGTTTGTTAAATAATTTATTAGCCGAATTTCCTATTGGCGCGATACATGCTTTGAAGGAATTGCGTGTTTTAGATGTAGGGTTCAATTTGCTCACCATACTGCCCGAAGAAGCTTTCCGTGGCAATCCCACTATCACTTTATTGGCTCTAGACGGAAATCCTTTGTTGACAGCACCCGAAAAAGCTTTCACACATCTAAACTTAACGCTGCGGGGTCTATCGTTGGGAGGTAGATTTCTACACTGTGATTGTAAATTAAGATGGGTTGCTGAATGGATCCGTAATGGCGATTTACAAGTTACATCACGTGAACGAAATCCACAATTTTGCGGCTCGCCAGCTCGATTCCGGGATCGGGGATTTTATTCCCTACAACCGGAAGAGTTGATATGCTCAGAAAAGAAAACGACTGCAAATAATACTAATAATGAAATGGATGACTTGGAAACTCAACAAGGATCGACAAGCTCACTCTTGGATTATTTCACAGTTGCTGATACAAAAACCAAAACAACAGGTATTAAATCTATTAAAAGGCCTAGTCGGCCAGAATTATTGTCACAAACCAACGCAACGACTGCAATCATCCCCATAGCTTCAACAAGGTCAACCACTCCCAAAACGACACCTAGTTCCGCAATTACACCTGTAAGTTAAAACTTGAATTCCATTTAGTTAAATTTTTTGAGTTGGTTTTATTTTTAGACAAAATTTTCAAGCACGACAACTAGTCCATCATTATCCAGCGACGAGGGTTTGACCACGCCAACAAAAACCCCCAGCATGGGTATCAATTCAGTGACAACCAATTCGCTAAATATTAATGACAGCGATCTTCATTTTAATAGTAAACAGTCTCCTACCTGGCGTCCCAACAATACCGCGACATCTTCGGTAATATTAAACGGTGCGCCACACAAAGAGCAGCGTCCACCATTGGTGTTGGGGTTCCCCGCTCAACGTGGCACTCGTATCGACGACGCTAATGAAGTGCAAGTGAAGAACGCTTTTCGGCAAGACAACTCCGTGATCATACAATGGGATTCCGATACAGCAAACATACTAGGATTTCGGGTAGTTTATCGACTTTTTGGCGAGAAAACGTTTAAACAAGGACCACCACTAGAATCAAGTGAACGCGAATTCAAAATAAAGAACGTACCATCTCACGATTGCATTATAGTTTGTGCGATTTCCTTAGAAGAATTACATGTGACTCCTGAAACGGTTCCATATCAACAATGTCGAGAAGTACGTACAGTTGCCTCGCAGGCATCCAAAATGGACAAGATAACAATTGTGGCTAGCGCAGCCATATGTGGTACTATCATTGTAGCAGTAATCGTATTTATAGCAGCGAGTAGGTAAGTATACATGTATGTATTTATAACTTTATATTTTTAACTTTGTAATTGTGATCATTCCGAATAAAAAATTTTAGTTTTAAATAAGTAAATAAGTCACTGTAAACTTTGGGAGAAAAGTAAATACAGCACGCAAGTCTTTTTCAGGTGTATTTTTTCTTAGGATTTGTATAAAAAAAGATGAAAAAAGAAAAGAACTGTATAAGGTTGATCGAATAAATGACCGCCGTAGCCATCAGTCTCGAGCCTATTCGATTTCTGCGTATGAGGCCTTATGTTGAACAAAAGGGGGAGTATAAAGGACTCAAAATGGAGAACATTAGCCATGGTCACAGAAAATATGAAATAAATTAACCGACGAAGAAAGGTTAAAATTTAAAAACTAATTAAAAGAATTAAAGTAAAATCTATGGAAAATAAACAATAAAATACTTTTTTCGCAAAATCTATAAAGGCCCCTGATTTGCTTGACTTTAGTTTGTCGGTCCAAACAGGAATCTTTACTTACGGTTGATGGATAGCTCGTTTCCAATGGATGGTGGCAAGAAAGTGGCTGACTTACGTCTAATGATTTTGTATTACCGGCTTATGGTGACTCAATTGCTGTCAAATGAATAGTCCAGATTTGATGCTCACAACTTCTTTATTCTACGCAACAACATGGCTGGGGATTTGCCGGAAGGAATGTGACGGCACCTTTTGCCTCTATTAACTCGATACAAGAAAAAAGGCTTTTTACAGTCAGCCTTTTTCCTTATATTTGCATGGACGCAGTCGATTTCACTTTCCACTTTTCACTGAGCGGTGAGTATCGACTCCCCGAATGTCGCCAGCTTTTAATACAAGCTTTTAATACACTCTAATTACTTGGTTGTAGCCGTCATCGATTCGCCACTTCTCGCTCGGTATGTTTAAGTTCCGGTCGCTTAAAGAAGAATTTTGTGTGTGAAAGCAACAACAAAGTTAGCTAGCACTGATAGACGATAGCGAGTTTGGCTGTACCTCATTGAGTTCGTTCGTTTCACCACTCGCTAACTGTTGGCGAATCGATGACGGCTTGTAATTCTGTTCTTGCGAGGGCTGATGAGTGTGGTTCGCTCTGTGTCCAATTCGGAAAAAGCAAATATCTTTTTCTAGCCTCGTGGTATGTGACCACCGATTCTTTTATCGTATGTCAGTGCGGGTGTTTTCATAGTGGCCATGTCAATTCGTGTCTATACTGATATAATGGTTCTTGTCTTGAATAACTATTGATTACGTACATTCATCTGGCAATCCCCCCCCATTTTGAAGTTTAGCTTTGACAGTTTTGTTATGTTTACATTTCTCATAATCGTTCTTATGTCTATTATTTGGCCAATAAAAACAATAGATCATTATCCCCTTCTCATCTTCAGCGACACGTTAACAAAAAAACCTGTGGAGCGTTTAGTAGGGATATGAGAATGGTGGTTCGAATGCGATTCACGGCCTGGACGTTAGACCCCTTACATCGTTAGACCCCCTACATGATCTTCGTCAACCCCATCCTGACTCGTTCAGTTCGTCTCTGAGCGCATATGTATGTACACATGTTCCGTCTGTACTATTTAGTTTCAGTACGCTTACATAAGCTACGGTAGATCAAAGGCATTGGTAAATGATTTGGTTATGAATCTTTTCTTGTTTGCTTTGATCGATTTACTAAACTTAATTAATTTATTCCAGCCGGGTATCCTATATTAAGGCAAAATCGATGGAGTATGGAGGCCCGCCATATATTCATCGAAATTCTTGAGAAGGCGAATGTACTGAATGAGTTAACGTGTTGTGATTAAATCGGTGGAATAATTGCCAAGCACTCGGTTTTTAGCATCGATCAGTTCATATGAATTCGAGCCAAGTTTCCGTGAAACATAGGCTCTAATTTTTGGTGGGGCTAGTTTTTGCGCATAGCCCTCTCCGGGCACGGACTGTTTACGATTGGGAATGTACACTTCCGACCCTATCTCGAAATGGCGTTCTCTTTTGCGGGCCAATGCCCGTTGTGCGGTTTGTTGATATAGTTCGAACTGTATGTCTCGAATTTCATCAGCCAGAACTTTACGCTGTTCCACATTCTGTGTATGGTATGGATTTACCTCCAATAATAATTTATATTCGTTTCCATCTTTCACATATTCACGACCAGTGTGCGGGAAATATGGCATGTAGCCCATGGCTGAATGCACTGAAGTGTTAATATCATGAATAACCGTGACAGATGGTTTTCCCAGGAGGAATGTTCAAGAAGGTCAGCCATGTAAGCACGTAATCCAAGTTTAATGCTTTTGTTTGTCGCCTCGACCTGATTGGCTTGTGGATGGTACAAAGGGTTTTCATGTGTTTGATGTTATAATCGGCGCAAAGCTTTGCGAAAGTTTGACTGATGAATTAAGTACCATTATCTGATATAATGAGTTCGGGGCAGCCATTCACCGCAAATATATGTCGAAGATAATTGACTACGGACATGGCGTTTGCATTTTTCATTGGCTGAGCCCAGACATATCGCGAGTAACAGTCGATGGCTACGAAGATCCATTTGTTACGATTTTTAGACATGGGCAGCTTACCGACGAATTCAATCGATAATTGCCTACCCGGTCGTTTTGGTTCTCTATATTCGCCGTGAGGTGTTTTGGTGCTCTCATTACTTGGTTTAATGCGGTGGCATAGTTCACATTGCCGAAAGTACTGGTAAACGGACTCATACATGTTTGGCCAGTAATAGCGTTGTGTGATACGTCTATAAGTTTTCCAAACACCCTGATGCGAATGTTGGTTATGATTTTCATCGAGGACTTTTGGTCGGCCAGAAGATGGTACACAAAGTGTACACAGTATTTCCGCACTTTGATTGGAAAATTTCAATCGATGATATAGAAAGTTGTTCTCGATTTTATATCTATCTAATGGTTGTTTTGAGGCCATGGCATG